ACATATATCATACAAATCTTATTTCTTTTTAAACTTATATATTTTTATTTATCAAGTAGATTATAAAAATCAATATATATCAAGATTATTCTTCAATGTGTAAAACTATTTTAGTTCAAATAAACTTAGGTTTACATACTCAAATTGTTATAGATTATAATATTTTGTCTTTATATAATAAGCGTTTTTCCTCTCTTAATCTTCTCACCAAACAATTTTAAATTCGATAATCTCTTCTACGAATTTTATTTCAGTTTTTTCATTAGAAAATAACATCAATTATCCTCTTATTCGAGAGGTGACATAGATTACGACGATCTAATTGGAGTATTTTCATTTGCTTCATGCAAATTGCAAACTAAAACTTTGTACATCATTCGCTTCTTGCAAAATTTTGGAATCAATTATGTGAAAAAATCTTATTAAAAATCGCAATTACTAAAAGTATGAGATTTAATTAGTCAAAATTTTGGAAAAATAGATATATGAGTAGATACATAAAAAAAGAATAACCTAATTCAATTAGTAATAGGAAAAATCTAATTATTTGGAAATATTTGACAAATTTAAATGAAAAAATAATATAATAAAAAGAGTCAAAACAACTTAATAGCGGTGAGACTTCTCTATTAGTGGTCTTACACTTTCCAGTTTTGTTTTTCTTTAAGAGATTATAAAATATTTATAAAACTGAAAAATTCAAATAAGAAAATAAGTAATTAATTCAATTTATTTTTAAAAAAATAGAGTAGTGAAGTAGTAAAAACTAAATTAATTCATACATGAATAGAAAAAACTAATTACGTGATAAAATTTAGGAATTATTTGAAAATCAAATAAGAAAACAACCAAAAAAAAAGTAACTAACTCTTAAATTATTTTTTATCAACATTTTTCGGTTTTATTTTGTTTATTTTCATGAGTGATTTATTAACGTTTTTAATTTTTTGAATTTGATATTTTCACGGGTTATAAAATATTTTATCACAAATTCGTATATATGCGGGTCCTTTATCTAATATTATATAATTATTGTGGTGGATTGTATTTAATCCGCTTCAATATTAGTTTAACTAATTAAGCTTGTTTAAGGATTATACAGTTCGCGCAAATAGTTGCATATATGTTAATGACCGGTCCAATGTTTTGGATGTCTTACGTAAATATCAGAAAAAAATGTACACTAGTTTATTAAGAAAAGTTGTGCACTAATCAATGGTTTTATTTGTCTATAACTTGGACAAGCCCTGTATATACGTACACTATATTCACAAGAATGAATACGTATGGAGTTATATTAAGCTTAATTACTTGTATAGGTTGTGGAGGTTGAAGCAAGAATAATATTTGATTTTTACTGGAATCACATTTGACTAGTATATACTATGTGTCAATCTATTCCTAAATTTTTTTTTTCTTCATCGCACTTTACGAGCTATCTTTTGCAGTTCTGTTACACAATACGATAGAGTTTTATAACAATGAATATATACTGTAACAAATTCTAAATAAAATAAGGCTGCTAGATTTACTCGAAAATCTTTGGTCCACGTTCAAAGAGTCGTGAGACTGTAGAGCTAGTTTCATTAATATAGAATAAAAAAATCAAAATATTAATTAGAATTTATCATTTTACCAAAAAAAAAAATAATATTAATTAGAACGGATTAATTTATATGGAACATATTGTCATGTTGTATTATAAATAAAAAGTGCAAGATGTAACGAAAATTGCAAACTATCGTTCAAGTTGCATAGGAATCAACCTTTATATAAACCAAACCTTCATTCTAATATTTTTC